TTTTTTTTCTATATAGTGTCTTAATAATGTACAAAGAATTAATGTATAGAGAATTAAAGAAAATATAATCTCTTCTATTTTTTAATTGAGATTAAATAATTAATTCATAATTTTCAGTATTCTAAAAATTATAGACACATGTAATGTTACCATGAAAAATATACTTTTATAATAAAAACATAATATAAAATATTAAAAAAACTTAAATAACCAAATTTTTAAATTTTTTAAATAAAAATCATAATCTAATCTGAAAATAAACCAAATTTGTAATAAATAAGAGTTCATTTTTTTATTGTTTTAAATTTTTTGTGTAAATCCGAATAACATACATAAATTTTTTTCTATATAGTGCCTTAATAAGTACGAAGAATTAATGTATAGAGAATTAAAGAAAATGTAATCTCTTCTATTTTTAATTAAGATTAATTAATTAATTCGTATCAATATTCTAAAAATTATAGACACGTGTAATGTTCCCATGAAAATTATACTTTTATAATAAAAACGGAATATAAAATATTAAACTTAAATAACCAAATTTTTAATTTTTTTTAAATAAAAATCATAATCTAATATGAAAATAAACCAAATTTTCAATAAATAAGAGTTGATTTTTTTATTGTTTTAAATTTTTTATGTAAATCCGAATAACATATATAAATTTTTTTTTCTATATAGTGTCTTAATAATGTACGAAGAATTAATGTATAGAGAATTAAAGAAAATGTAATCTTTTCTATTTTTTAATTGAGATTAATTAATTAATTCGTAATTTTCAATATTCTAAAAATTATAGACACGTGTAATGTTCCCATGAAAACTATACTTTTATAATAAAAACGGAATATAAAATATTAAAAAAAATTAAATAACCAAATTTTAAAATTTTTTAAATAAAATCATAATCTAATATGAAAATAAACTAAATTTTCAATAAATAAGAGTTGATTTTTTTATTGTTTTAAATTTTTTATATAAATCTGAATAACATACATAAATGTTTTTTCTATATAGTTTCTTAATAATGTATGAAGAATTAATATATAGAGAATTAAAGAAAATGTAATCTCTTCTATTTTTTAATTGAGATTAATTAATTAATTCATAATTTTCAATATTCTAAAAATTATAGATACGTGTAATGTTTCCATGAAAACTATACTTTTATAATAAAAACGGAATATAAAATATTAAAAAAACTTAAATAACCAAATTTTTAAATTTTTTTAAATAAAAATCATAATCTAATCTGAAAATAAACCAAACTTAATTGAAATTATAAAAACAATAAATGGTGCTAATTTTTAAAAGGCAGAAAGATTATTCGAATAAAAAAATAACGAAACTAAAATTCATTCGCAATATAAAACATATATAGAAATGAATTGTATGAGAATAAAAGAGCAAACCAACCATATGGGTAAAGTGAATCCAACGCCATTGTAGATTCCCTGAAATAGATCAATAGATGACAAACTTGAAAACCAAATCAACCTGAAAAGTTAAGTTCTTAGATATATTTTACCATTCCAATAAAAATTATAGATAAACAAAAAGGTGGACCGAGTAACATATGACAACATCTTGAACTTTTCATAGTCATTGCGATTATATACACCGCAAACAAAAAAAATCACTATATGACAAAAGAAAAATTACAGCAAAAAACTAAAGAATTCTATACCATATATTCACCGAGGTTAGTTGTGGGGGCTAGTCGTGTCATGTTTGTTTTAAGGGATATGAAAATAGTAGAGATTGTATAGAGAGGGGGAAAGGGACATAGAGATTTAGATTATTGAAAGTTTTGTAGTGGTTGTTTTTCTTTTTTTGTGGATTTTGTTATGATGTGTGTTGAACTCAAAAATCTCAAACAAAAACGTGTCGCTTTATATAGACATAAAAAACATATAGATATTTTTTTGATAAAAATATTTAGATATTTTATTAATAAATACAATTTAAAGACATAGAATATCGTGAATACATGCATGATAGAGAGAATAAATGTAATTTATAAAAATTAGAAAAATTAAATATATTTTAAAAGATATTGAATACATTGAATAAAGGAATTAGCCTAATTAGAAAAAGAAAAATTAGAGGAGTAAATGAAGGGGATGAATATGAACAAAACAGAAAATTGTATATAAAGGATATCATGTATATATATATAAAAGATACGTGTGAGATAAGAGTATATTAATTCTATATATTTAACTTTTTAATGAAATATACACATTTAACTTAACAGAATAATTAAAAATATAAGATATTAAAAATAATTGCATACGGTTAACATTTATGCACATAAAAAAATCAGTAAACTTTTAAAGTAATATAAGTTAATTAATATATTAAATATCTATTGAGAGTTTTGTCTATTTAGAAAAATCATAAATTACTTAACTAAAGGTTTGGATCTTACCCTTTCTATTTTTAAGTGTGAATTAATTACTCATTTGACGACATTTATTTTTTAATTGAGAATTACTAAACTCTTGTGGAAAAATTAAAATGCACTCTTTCATATTCTTAAGAAAAGGACACGTGTCAGACCCGTAGAAAAAACTCTACTTTTATATATAAAAGATGTATTTTCTTTTCTTCGTTATTTATATTTGTATATTTGATAAATAATGAAATCTATAGATTGTTTTGAACGAATCCTAAATTTTTTAGTGATTTATTATCATGAAAACAATGATTAATCAATACTATCATGAGACGTGATAGATCATCATAGACATGATAATGTGTATTGAATATAAATAATGATCATATTTACTTGTTTGAACCAAGAGAATGAATGATCCATATGAATTTATTATATGAAAATGAGTTAAGAATCAAATCTCATGTAATGATTTGTTTTGAGATACTAAAACCAAGTATAGTGCTCTTAAACTATCCGTAATTCAACTAACATAAAAACGTCTTAAAATCTAATCCTAATTCGATTACAACTACAACAAATCCGAAATGTTTTACATTTTTTTGTGGAATAGAAATCATTCTCGATCTCCTCAACCCCTTTTTCGTTCGGCCAAAATGTCCATTCGAGTTAGAAGTCTTCGTCGTACTCGAAGAAGAACTCTCCTCGCTTTCACGACCAAATCCTCACCATTTGTTGGGTCTCTTTCACGATTTCAGCCAAAATTTATGAGTTTTTTTTTTTGTTTTGTTTTGTTTGGGTTTGATCGATCGGTTTTAATTTTTTCTTTTCGTTCTATTTTTTAGGGTTATTAAATTTCTCTTAAAATTTCTAATTAAAGAGAAGACAGAAGAGTACTACAAAGATAAAAACGGTTATTTTAGGGTTATCCGAATCCAAATTTTTTATATTATATTATTCGACTCGAATCCGATTTGTTTAAATATCCGAAAATCGGATATCCGAGATAATTTTCGGGTACCATGAGTATCCGAAATCTGAATTTTTGAAATTAATTTTTTTAAAAATGTAATATATACCATAAATAAACTATAGTTAAGATATATAAAAATTGTAATATATATAAAAATATAAAACTTTTACAATATAATAGATAAAAATAAATAAAAAAGATATAAAAAAAGTTATAATAAGTTTAATTTTAGTTTTTTATATAATATAGTTAAAAATGTAGATATAAAATTGCAAGTTTATCATTTTTCAAATATTCGTAGATAATTATCCGTTTCATTCTTTATTATCCGAATCCGAATCCGAATTTCGAATTTTTTTTTATAAATATTATACCTGATCAACACTCACTACCATACATCAATACGGGTTTTATGACTGTACGGTAGAATTTTCCTTTCAACCGTATGAGAACTTTGCAATCGCAAAAGACCCCCGTGGTTTGCGTTCATTTCATCCATCCCGCTTTTATTCTATGATTAACATTTTCGTCACAAACTCCATCTGTTTGGAGGATTGAAATGCGGATTTTGAGATTTTTTTATCCCCCCTATTTCTCACTCCCATATGTGTTCTCATTAGGGATAGTCACTTCGGGAATCGGTTCGAGTTCGGAATGAAAATGAGTCGGTTCGGTTTTATCGGTTTTATAAAAATATGTACCAATCGATTTTTATATTTTATTCGGTTCAGTTCGGTACCGATTCCGGTTCAGTTCGGTTTCAGATTTTTTAAAATTCGGTTCGATTCAATTTTCAAAAAATAATATTATTCAAAATTTTAAAAGGGTTCAGATAAAAAAAAATATTGTATTTTTCGCCTCGATTCGGTTGGACGTCCACCAGTAGTTCTCACTCTCGTACTTGTTTTTCCTTTGCACACTCGAATTCATTAAGGTTATATGTGTCTTTTCTTTGTAAAACCAAGGGCTAAACTAGACATTTAATGTGTATAATTTAGAGTGTATTGAAGAAATAGATGCGACCTAGTGGTGCATATTTGTGAATTCCCCTAACCCTCGAGTCCCCTTCCTCTGTGCTCGGAGTGAGAGAGAATGGCTTCTTCTTCATCTTCAGGATCGGCAGCCGCGACGGCGATCTCTCCGGAAACGGAGGAAGAGCTTACTCTGACGGTCAAGTGGAGCGGCAAGGAGTATACCGTCCGAGTCTGTGCCGACGACTCGGTAGCCGAGTTGAAACGCCGCATCTGCGTTCTCACCAACGTCTTGCCCAAGCGGCAGAAGCTTCTCTATCCCAAAGTCGGCAACAAGCTCTCCGATGATTCTCTTCTCCTCTCTCAGATCCCTCTCAAGTCCTCTCTCAAGATGACGATGATCGGGTCCGTCTCATTCTTATTTCCCCTATATGAATTTTAGTTTGCATCGTGTTGCTTTAGCAAAATTTTCAAGCATGAATATCAAAAAGGATATGTTAGTTTGAGTGATTCTGTGAGTGTCGAATTTTGTCTGGCATTTCGGATGTCATGTCCTGACTCGGATTGGAATAATAGACTCATTGGAGCAGTAAGAGAAGAAATTGGACTGTTGGGCTAAAATGTCTCTTTTTCCAGTACTGTGGAAGATGATATAATAGTGGATCAAGCAGAAACTCCGGAGATTATTGATGACTTTGAGCTTGGAAAGGAAGAAGCTGTGGATATAAAGGACAAAGAGGTCAATAAGCAGAAGCTGAGGAGAAGAATTGATCAGTACAAGGTGAGTTTTATGTTTCTGTATTTTTCGGGTTTCTAGAGCTTTCCATATATGATTGCTTTGAAGTTCTGTTAACTCTTGACTGCTGAGAGAATATGTTCTGTTTCATGTGAAGTCTAGAATGAGAGTTGAAGTGGCAAGAAACGTTTTAGTGTCATTTGATCATTGATTTTCTGAGTAGATGTTTGTGGTGTCATGGGTTTTCGTTTATGTTTTAGGAGATGAAGGGTTAAGTGAATGAGTTTCATCTTATCTAGTCTTGCATCGTTCGCAGATTAAAATCCGAACACCATGTCGGCAAGGCAAGAAACTTCTTGTTCTAGACATTGACTACACGTTGTTCGATCATCGCTCCACAGCAGAGAATCCCTTACAGCTTATGCGTCCTTGTAAGCAGTATGACTTCTCATGTCTATTTTACTTACCAGTTAGCTTGTTTCTCTGATGGATGTTCCAATTTTATAATGCAGATCTTCACGAGTTTCTTTCTGCTGCTTATGCCGAATATGATATCATGATCTGGTCTGCTACCAGGTGATATTTTTCATCAACCTGTAAATTTCCTTTGTTTTGTATAACCTTCCTATAAAAGCTGTCTGCAGTGTGCATTTCCCTTCGATGTTAGTTCTATCTCTTCGGGTCTAAAGTTATCCATTTTGATTTCTGCAGCATGAAATGGGTGGAGCTGAAAATGGGAGAGCTCGGAGTGCTGAACAATCCGAACTACAAGATCACAGCCCTTCTTGATCATCTAGCAATGATCACCGTTCAATCAGACGCTCGTGGGATCTTTGATTGCAAACCACTATACTTAATTTGGGCACACCTTCCCGAGGTATGCAGTAAAATCTTTCCGTTCATCACAGAGTGAAGATCTTTTTTTTCTTCTAGTACGTCAGTTGACAGATATGATCCATCATACGCAGTTTTACAGTGCCAAAAACACGATAATGTTTGACGATTTGAGAAGGAACTTCGTGATGAACCCCCAAAACGGTCTGACCATTAAGCCATTCAGAAAAGCTCATGCGAACCGAGACAAGGATCAAGAGCTTGTGAAGTTGACACAGTACTTGCTGGCCATAGCAGAGATTGATGACTTGAGCTCTCTGGATCACAGTCGGTGGGAATCATTCACTGAAGATAATGTCAAGAGACGCAGGCATGCATGAGTTGCTTCAATTCTTGTGGTTCTCCAAAGTTATTACAAATATCAGGAGATCGAACCATGGAAATATTTTCAGGTTACTTTGTCTATTTTCCGAGATCTCGAATCAAAACTGTCAAATGATACAGATGAACTTCTGGCGTCTTTGTGAACTTCGCCTTATTGATAGGCTCTGAGTAATAGTAGTAGTTGTTGTAGTTGTTAGACCTCTGATATCAGTTCTTGGTAATCTATTTTCGCAAGTGATAGAATTATGTTTTTTTGGCTGTGAGTAGGGGTGAGTGAATGGTTCAGTTCGGGTTAATCGGTTACGATTAATTTGGGTTTTCGAGTTCTGAATGTTTATAACCAATTCGGTTTCGATTCGATTTATCTAATTAAAATTATAACTAAATAATAACAAAATAACAGCACAGTTATGGTTCGGTCTGATCATACTATGCTTGAAGCCAAAAGAAAAACTTCTGACTCGTTAATGCCCCGAAATTATTCGATTGCATTCTCGGTCACTTCTTCGTAAACACACACCCATATAGCAAAAGAAATTGATGATAGATGGTTGTTTCATATTTCTGAGCAAGTGTAAATTGAATCATCATCGTCAAACGTCTCGTTCGGACGTGAACCACGACATGGATAGTATTCAAGAATAGATGTTCCAAAATGATCGGAAGTAGGGTTAAGAACCCTTGTGGTAAAAGCTTTCACTCCACTTTTAACACTCCATTTTTAGCGCGTTTTTTTCTTGGTCTCAATCTACTTTCCCGCTTTTCTCAACATCTGAATGCTTGATTTGAATGGAGGAGGCTGGAGCTTGGTCGCTCGAGCTAGGCAGTGAATCGGCTTGAAAGGTGTTATCTTGCTCATGCCGCTAGAACATTCTATGTCGAATTTTTGTTTGGTTTTGCCTCAGTTTCTTTCGTCATTTTTGGAAAAATTATAATTATTTATATTTTTATGTCATATTTCTATTGACTTGGTTGGGTGCCACTCGGATTTGATTTTGCTATTCCGTCCATTCTTATATATGATATTCAGATATTATTCTCAATCTGATTCTATTCAATATACATAAGTCGAAATGATGATCCAATGAAAATCAACTGACGAAATAAATAAAAATTAAGTTCAATGTAAAATATCTGACTACAAAGTTAGAATATACCTTCAAAACGGAGCTTTGGGATCAACTAAAATATAATAAGTAAAAAAAAAATTAAAAATAAAGAATAATAAGCATCCGGAATTCACTTTCTTACGCCTTGGTTGCTTTGGTGAGCCTCCAGCGAAGTAAAATGTGAAACGGGGGCTCGATTGTCAAAAGCGGTCTTTTACTTTAAGTCAGTTATGAACAGAGAGTTTGGTTCCAATCTGCCAAAAAAAAAAACGTGTAGAAAACCACCTGTTATTTAAATACATACGATACATATATATGGGCAATTTTATACATATGACAAAAGACAAATTATATTCAGGCATAGGTTCTACGATAGATTTTTTAATTTATAAAAGAAAAAATCAACGCGTTTTCGTGATACTAAACATGATATGTGGTCCAAAGTCGTCACTTCCACGACTCTCCGACAAATCTTGGGAATCTCGGACTCACAACTCCGAATAAAACTGGGCTATATTATATCTCTGTCAGTATTGTGAGACTTTTGTGAATTCTTTTGCTGTAATGAGTCGTGTAGCGTATTTATTCATCGGTTTCAGTAGCCACGTCTGTATTCCTATACGGTAATATGAAAGAGAAGAGAGAATGGAATCGACCAAGAGAGAAGAAACACCTTTTTGTTAGAAAAAGGTGAGCGAGCAGAGCTTCATCCTCTGGGATGGTAGGAGGACGGATTACCTCTCCTTCCGCTTCTCCAAAAACCTTTGAAGTGACTTTCGCCTTGCGATTGGTAGATCTGCAACAAAAAAGCACATGTCCAGAACCATAATGCTTTGATGAGTTGTTGTGCCGGACAAAAAAAAAACAAACGAATGAACTGAAGAGACAAGGGAGTAAGAGTAAACGCAAACCTCCTCCGAGATTCTGGCCGAAGAGCTTTTGCCTTTTGCAAGGAGGGGCGGAAACATCTGGTTCGGTTGATTCGGCCTCCTTTAGCGGAGATGCATCCAAAGCAGCCTTCAAAATGCTCTCCGCCTACACAACAAATCGGAGAATACTCGGCTCAAGACGTGAACTCCAACGCTTTTGCGAAAACAATCGAAACCCCATTGGACCAAATATTACCCCAAAAAAAAACATTTAGGATCTAGAAATAAACTTTATGGACTCACCTTGTCGGAAGAAACCTCGAAAACCGAGACGGTTCCGTTGTAGAAAATCGTCATAGGAGCTGTTTCTGGGGCGTACTCCGTACTGTGCCTGACATTTCGAATTTCTGATTTCAGTCACATGGATTTTGAATTTCAAGTTGTTTCCACGGCGCCAAAATCAAAATCCCAAAAAGAGAACCAAAAAAATTGTGAAGCACCTAGGAACCGGCACGTGGAGCGACGGAACCGGAATCTGAGGCTGATCGTTCCTCGGAGTTGACGGAACCGACCCAGGTCTGCTCGGTGAATCGAACAGGCTTCTGCTGTCTCTGCTGTGATTCGGAGCACCTGAAGCAATAACAGATCTGATGATCTCAGGATCGATCTTCGCAATCGCACCTTGAATCTCTGCAGAAACAGCAAGAATTACTTACACAATGATCATCGACCACAATAACAATAAAAAAAAATCCGGAGTGACAGGAAGAAGAAATCGAAACCGAAGAACAAACCTCGGAAGCTGCGACGTCGATCGAGAAATTTCTGGAACTTAGGCTTGGGAGACGTAGCCGTCGTCTTCGGCGGCGGCGGCTGCTTGTCCAGTCCGAAGAAATCAAGCTCCACCATAGCTCTGGGCATTTCTGGTATTCTTTTTCGTGTGGTTGAAGAGAGAGAGGGGATGGGATTGAAATGAAGGGGCGCGAGAGAAATGATATAGCAAATGAAAGGATTGTCTTCTGCGTCTCCTATGTATCCGAAAAACAGGGCACATAAAAACGCACGAGGTTCACACCTTTTCTTTTATTTTTACAAGGGGATATTACAGAGGTAATTTTACTCAAATAGCCGAGTTGAGTCGCAACAATTTCTCAGGTACACCTAAAAAATAGACAGAATTATCAAATATCGAGTTTACCCCTGTAAAAAATGGAAAAGATCTACAAACCCTTAATGAAATCCGCGCGTGAGGTAAAAACACGTGCGAAAATTTTTTAATTCGAATTAAATAAAAAACTAATGAAAATGTTTAGTTAAAATCTACAAACCCTTAATGAAATCCGCGCGTGAGGTAAAAACACGTGCGAAAATTTTTTAATTCGAATTAAATAAAAAACTAATGAAAATGTTTAGTTAAAATCGTAAAAAGGAAAGTTAGGGTTTTTTACCCTTTCAAAATCGAAAACGGCAAAGAGAAGAGAAAGCGAGAGAGGGAAAGTGACTCATGCGAAATCGACAGAAGGAAACGAATCGAGAGTCGAAATCGAAGCGAAATCAGCGGAGTGCCAGCGAAAGCAGGAAGAAAGCGACGAAACCCAGAAAAATCGAGAGCCAGACGAACAAAATGAAGCCATCGTCGTCGAGGGAAGGAGGTCGCGGTCGAGGTCGAGGTCGAGTCGGTGCTGGAACCAGAGTGGTGTCGAGGTTTGCCGGCGAGAGAACGCAGACGGAGCCTGAGGCGGAGAATACGGACACGGAGACGTATACAGAGCCGGAGCCAGAAAGAACAATGGAGGGAAATGCTTCTCCGAAAACACATGTAAGTAGAAATCTGGGTTTAGGGTTTTCATGTTGGAATTAGATTTAAATCTGGGTTTTTAAAGTCTGGGTTAAAGGGGAGTGTGATGTCGGATAATGCGAAGAGTTGAACAGATTTGGTGAAATCGTGCTCATGTAACTTTTAAATTTTAAGTGTTTTATACGAAATAACAATTAAAAAATGATAGTGAAGTAGTGGAATTTCAAACCCGTTTCTGAGAATGTCATGTGTTGTGATGTATGTTTGATGAATCTCGTTGTTTTGTTGCAGATTTGGGATATACCCAAAGCCGAATTCTACTATGAATTTGACGACATGAACAAGATTTCGGTGAAGTTATCGTCAAAGTGTTTCCACATAGAAGCTGTGGAATTTCTCGAGAACCACATGACGGAGGAGGAAAAAAAGTATTTCACCGAACAATCGCAATTCAGACACATATTTCATATGAAGAAGAAACAGTCACTGAAGATGAGTTTAATGGTTGCACTCATCAACCGATCAGTCAAGACCAAGAAAGATGACGAGTTATTGTTCGTGATGAACGGAGTCCCAATTAGGTATTCGCTGTGGGAACACGCTATTCTCTGTGGTTTAAATTGTTCTCCGTTGCCTGAGAATTGGGAGGAAATTGGAGGGTTCGAATTCTACCGTAAATTCTTTGGTCAAGAGAGTTTTGAAAAGGTTATGAAAGCAGAAGTAATGAAGAAGTTTGGAGAATTGGCTGTAGATGACAGAGATGACCGATTGAAGATGGCTTATTTGTTGCTGCTCAGTTATGTCATTGGGCACCAACATTCGGAATACGTGAATCCATTTCTGTTGAAGATTGTCAACAATGTGGATGCATGCGAAAAATTCCCTTGGGGGACGTTCACGTTCAACAATGTTCATGAGTTTGTGGTGAACTATCTGAATAAACATCGGAAGCCGGCTAATCAGTGGAACTTACCAGGGTTTATAATTCCCCTCACGGTAAGGGTTTAGGGTTTACTAAACAAAATAAAGAGTTGTCAAGAAATACTTTATTAATGTTTTGTATTTGTTATAACAGATGTTGCCGTTCGAATGTATTCCCAAGCTTCGTTCAGGCGGATGGTATAGTGAAGTCAGGGTGGAAGGAAATGTGAAACAATCCTGTCCAAGGATATGCCGACGATGTTTCATTCCGAAAAAGAAGTATGGAATCAGACAAGGTCTGACAAGGATCGGAAGGACGCAGGTCAGTTCCAAAAGAGTAGTAATAGTGTAGTCTGAAAAAATAGTGTTAGGGAAGTTGAAAAACAGTTGTGGTTTTTAGTCGTTTTCTTACTTGAGCATTTAATTTCAGGATATTGCGAGCATTCTAATTCCAGAGGAGGCTGAGAGCCATCTGATTGTGCATTTGGAGACAATTGATAATGTTGATGAGGTGGTTGATAGTTGGATGGCGCATTTGGTTGAAGATGTGAAATCTGTGAAATGGAGAGATATACTCGAGGCTGATGTGAAATCTCGCATCGAAGTGCCAATGATGCAGATGCAGAAGAAAAGGAAAGCAGCTGCTTCAACAAGAAATGTGGAAAAAAGAAGAAGAAGTGAAAAAGGCAAAAGACAAGTGACTTAAGAAGAAGAAGAAGAAGAAGAAGAAGAAGAAGAAGAAGAAGAAGAAGAAGAAGAAGAAGAAGAAGAAGAAGAAGAAGAAGAAGAAGAAGAAGAAGAAGAAGAAGAAGAAGAAGAAGAAGAAGAAGAAGAAGAAGAAGAAGAAGAAGAAGAAGAAGAAGAAGAAGAAGAAGCTGACCAAGGCGATGGTCAAGATTTAACTTCTCAAGTCTCGCATTTGAAAGGGCAGGTTGGGTATTTGACTCGGAAGTTGGCTGAGACAGAAAAGAAATTGCAAAGTGCGATTGCAGTACAAGGTGA